GCATTTAAATGCAATGAACCTGCACCCTTTGAACAACGATAAAGTAAAAAAAGCTCTTGTGGTTGTTTATGAGGTTGCTTGAATAGCGGAAAATACCACTGAACTCGAAGAGATGCAATAAGAACTTGACAAAGAACGATACAAAGTCAGATCAAAGATCAAATAATTAAAGAGCAAAGTATGTGCCACCTGTGCTGAAGGCCCAAATAACAGATGATGAAGAGGGAATAAAAGAAGTGGAAAGCAACATCTATTTGGACCAGAAAGTTAACATGCGAGGAAAGGCTTTCAGAATTGCCCTTCAGGACTCTTAGATTGCCTTTTTTCATCACAGAGGCGGCGGATAGTCTGTCAGAACACCATGTTTTCTTCGTCACCAAACTTTTCCCATATATCATCCTTCGCTTTGACAACTTCTTTCGTTGTCGCATTGCGCTCTTCTTGCTACTGCATTCCAGTTGAAAGCCATTTGCTTCCAAGTCAGCTTCCTGAATGCAGCCTTGTTCTCTTTAACTGTCAGCTGTACCCCTCGTGTCCACCAGGAAGTTCTTTTTTGACCTCCAGGCGGCAGGCCAACCCCTTTGAACCCGCAGCATTCAGCGGCAGCCCGAGTATGCCACTCTTAAAGTGCTTCCATTCGGATTCCACGTCATCACTGATGTGTTCAAACAGTCCTACGATGGTGTTTGCAAGTTTTGCCATCGGGTTCGAAGGGATAGTGACTTTTATTTAACTCTTTGGTTGTTTCTGTCCCCAGATTTTCGCTCTTTACTCCATCATTTATGGCTGACGGTGTCAACAAAAAAAGTTATGATCGGTTAACAGCTTTGCTTCTCTCTTAGGTCGAACATCCATTACATGGCGTCTAAGTCAGACGATACGATTATCAAATCGATCATCAGGTTTTATACTAGGCATACTTATGCGCCTTTCGATAACCAAAGGAAGTATTCATAAAATACACTCGGTTATTTGCGCTAAACTGCAACAACTCCATGCCGTTATTGTTGAGGTCGCAGTGGCCGTTCTTTCCTATGATGCCTTTCCACTTTTTAGTGTCGCTCTTACTTATGCAATGAAATCGTCCATTAGAATAATGGATTCGCAGTTGGCACGTTATCCAGAAAGGACTTCTTTCGCTAGGAAGGACTCATATTCTTCGTCCTAATTTGACGCATAGACATGAAACAACTTTAAACCCTTAGCTTTCTACAAGATCACCCGGATTATTACCCTAGGTTCCTCTGACACGCTTCCATCAAATGATTCTTCCAGCATATTAACACCGGCCTGAGTACGTAACACCACAGATATTGACACCTGAGCTTCTACAGGTTCAGAATTTCAGAGCCTTTGTGCTTCGTTGGCGAGAGTTGGCACCTTGCCGCCTCATTGACTAACTCCTTCTATTTACCTCGGATTGAGGAAATATGCCAATTTCCGACTGTAAGTTCCCACTGGCGCTGTCGTTCTCACGGAGTCTATTCTGATATGCTATAAGTGTATGGTGCTCTTTGTCCCCTCTGTTGAACTGATGACGGCTCCTATGCTGACTAGTGTCTTTGTCACCTTCTTCTCTATCTTCGGAAATTATCGCCGTGATGCTACCTGATTTTATATCTGTATTTGGATAGTGAATATCATATAGTGCTCTTTGCAATGAGCATTTATACATATAACTAGCAGCTAAATGGTGTTATATTTATACGCTGAATATGATAATGGTACTAATAATACATCGCAAATCGATGATCGATGATACGCATTGCCAGAATAATTGCGTACCTTCTAATATTATGTGTTATATGTATTTATGCATCAATAAGAATGATTCCTTCAAGACGAAATAGTAATGAGATTATGTATAACATGCAGTAAGACGAAACTGATATTAATTTGCATCTTCTGATATATTTCCATATCGTGATGACGTCTACCAAGCATCATCCGGATTATAATCCCCCCCACACACACATGCACACACTTTCATGAGTGGTCATTCGTCATTCATATCGTACACGACTTGATGAAACCAATCAGTTTTGATTTCCTTAAGAAATTAATTGAGATTCCTTCCATGCACATTCCTTCTGTTCCGAAGTTTTACGCAATGTCTTTTCGTTAGTTGAACTGCATTAAAAGCGTCACGAGATTCGTCATCTTTCACTACTACTGTCCAATGTGCCTTCAGTTCCAGGAATAGTAACAGACCTTCGCGGAAATAGTGGTGACGCAAAAATCTATGCTCTACGGTGTTTCCCTGCCACGCTGGCTGTATTTCGGTCGCTGACCAAATTCTTTAAGTGGGCCCTCTATGATAAAATGTAAACACAATGCGTAGTCTATTATAATTTTAGTACAAGAAATTATATGTTTAATTATATTCGCATTAAAAAAATCCCACTTCTCGTTTTGTCTCATGTTAGGGCCTTAAGTCTTTGGTGTGTGAGTAATGGGAGTATCGTTATACCTCTTGATTTAATGAACTCAAGAACCTTAGCTAAAGACTAAGTATAAACGTGAGGTTAAACTTGAGCTGAGGTCTAGTCATAAGTATAAACTGAAACGTATGCTTACGCCTGAATTTAAACCTAAGCTTCATCGGAATAAGTCTAAACTTCACCTTTGGCATAAGTCTAAGTATAAGCTTAATAATAAGCTCAAAAGTGAGCTTGTGCCGAAACATTCCTAAGCATTTGCATAAATCATAAGCATATGCTTAAGTTTAAGCGTAAACTTAGCGTAAGCATGACCTTAAGTCTAAGCCTATGCTTAAGCCCAAGCTTAAATATAAGATTTAGCGTGAGCTTAACGCCTACCAAATTTCTAAAACTACTTTTCAGGTTATGCTCAAACCTAACCACATGTATAAGCTTAAGTCCATGCTTAGGATTGAGCTTAAATCTATCCGTAAACATAAGCTCAAGCTAACCTCATAAATTTATGAACTGGTATCTCAATTATTGCAGGCAAGTTTTCAGGTATAAAGTTTCTGAGTTAATCGCAAAACTGCTTATTACACATTTATAAGATACGATTTTATACCCGGTAGTGTGTTACTTTAAGTTATTTTATTTAAGTGTTAAACCTTCCGCTTAAGAGGCGCTTACGCCAGGCTGTGTGGCCGTCAATTTCACCCTTTCCTGCATATCTAATCCAGAACATCCTACAATCACAATTTTTTGCAAGTCAGATACTTGCAATTGAGTTTACCGGTTGAGAGTTAACGAGGAACCAATTCCTGTACTCATCGGAATTATCAGTTTTATAAGAAGTTCCATGGTTTTCTGATTTGCAAACTCTCATTACAATCTGCCATGCAGCTGCTGCATGGTCTCCCATGACAAGTGCATAGGTGCACAAAATTGGGGTCACAGAGTTCTAGTGCCCAGACTTACTCCTAGGTGCCAGTCGGTCGGTCATTTGAGCATGCCTTTCCTCCACAGTACCTTAACAGCGCATGTATTTAACCGGGGTATTTGATGTGCTGTTATGGAGGTGTACTTATGCACTACAAATGCCAATGTGCCAGGGACCCATCGTGCCCTTGCAAGGTCAATAATAAACCAGCATCGCAGCAAATCCAGCGTTGGCAACGCCGTCGGCTCATCGTTTGCGATGATGGCGAGTTGGCGTACTCGCTCGATCAGAACGACGACACGGTTCCACAAGGTAGCGTCAACATCGAGCACTTCAAAGAGCTTCGGTACTTGGAGGACATGGCGCACCACCGACGGTGGGAGCTTCGAGGTTTCCTTCGTCGAGCCTGACAAGGCGAGGATATTCACAGATGGTTCTGAGTTCTGTCCAAATTTGTTCCACCGTATCCGGTTTTGATGTGCAATGAGAAGAACAAAATCGAGTTCTGTGGCAAGAGTCCCGGTCTCAGCGGGAACTAAGGAAACTTCGCTCTTCCTCGCATTTCCCAGCAATTTACAAGCCCGTCTTGGCGTCCATCTGACAGCACATTTCGCAGACAGGTGCTTCGCACTGGTAGCATTTTGCTGCCCTCAAGGGCAACTCGAACACC